GTGCAGGGACAGGAGTTGGACTCACGATCCTGGTGGGTCCCACCCAGCTCACAACATCCTATGATTCTATGAAGTCACGGGGAGCTGTTTAAGGAAGAGAGCTGTACCGGGGCAGTTGTATGAGGCGGTAGGTCAAGCAGGCAGTGGGTCAAGTTCACAGATGTTACTACCACCTCCTACTTATCCCTCAGCATGCTTTATTCTCAAGACTGCAAGTGCAGTGTCACTGCACAGTGACACCTGTAACCACCTAGGAATGTCTTAAATATGCTCAGGAATGCACATGTTTACAGAATACACTAATAAAATGGTCAAGACACCTACAAAATATCCAGCTTCCAGAAGTGAGCCTAGACAAGAGAGAAACACTAATCAGAATGACCAAGATACAAGGAGACAATGAATCTGTGTGAATGTACACATAAATGGAATGAATGAAGAGAAAAGCCATATATTTGATGGGAAGAATAAATAATTACGGAAAAAATAAAGTACATGTTGGTATTTTGGGATAGTAGCATACACACAAGGTAGAAAAAAGAAGTCAGGTCTGCTTTTTCATACAGGAGGAGCAAGTGAACAATCAATACTCACATAACTCTGAAGTTAAACCTGCATATTATTATTGACACACATAGGATAAGGCTACAACAAAGCTTTTAGTAGGATTCAGAGAATAATATATACATGCCTCCCCCTCTCTCTAAAATACCTAAATTCACATTACCAACACACCAAAATGAAAGAAGTTCTGTTCACAATATAAATATCAGACAATAATCCATTAAAAAAATTAGCTGATAAGCTTTTCTGGAGCACCCAGTATTAACTATTCTTAAAATTAACTTTCCCATGTTCATTTCTTTTCCTGAATCCTTTCATGCAGTGTATGCCAAATGATGTGATCACCAGCAGTTATATACAGTCAGACTATAAGAAGAAATATTTTTATTTCAGAATAAAAGTTATTTACTTCAGAAAAAAACAAACCAACTGAGTTTGCATAAATGCTTCAGTTCAGAATAGGATTTAATTTTCTAATCCACAGCAGTATAATATTTCATATTAAATACTGTATGCAGTATCATCTTCTAAAATACACGTCATGGAAATATTTCTCTGGTGAAAAGGCCAAGTGTAGCAAGGTATTTTTAAGGCATTTTTAAGGCCCTAGCATCAAGATAACACTTGCATTTTAGAAGTTTTCCACTCCCTCCTCCGCTGTGAAACAAACATCTCCCCTACTTTTGGAAAGCAAGAGCAAAATAACAGAGGTGGTTTTGATGCAATGTACAGCTGACAGATGTCCTGTGAATGGTTTCTAAGGAAGATATAACCCAACGACAGCGTCCAAAAGAAAAATTTACACTATCAAAACATCCTTCTTTATTGGTAAAGGAAAAAGAAGCCACGAGGACAGATCTCATTCTGGGGACGCTTTTAAACTTTACAAACATAGCACGTAGGTCAGATTAAGAGGAGAAATATCAAAAAGCTACGACAATGTTATGAAAGGAAACTCTTACTAACAGCATCTACCCCAGAACTTTTGTATGGACAGAGGATTCATTCCCTAGATAACAAATTCAACACTTTGTACCAGCAACACAGAAAACTATCTTCACCCATTTCTGCCATTCTGACCATTTTTTGAGGCTGTTGTTTTTCTCAGAAAATTGCCCCCTGCAGGGGTGAGAATTTTCAGACCCCAATTGGTGAGTTTACCTCCTGACTCTGCAGAGAGTTTTCAGTGCTACAACACAGCAGTTGTCAATCTTCCCATCACAGATTGATGGAAAGCAGGCTGGGACATCTACGCAGACGACTTCTTGTAATGTTTACTGACTGCACAGGTGACACTAGGATACAGAATGGGAAGAGATTCCTAACAGGACTCTCCTCTCAAATTACCCATACAGCAAGGAGACTGGTTCCCTGCTAGGTAAAAATGGTTTTTACATTATTTTTTTTAAATAAACAACAAAACAAGCAATACCCTAACTTTGTGAGGTTTTGTTTGGTTTTGGTTTATTTTTTTTTAAACTGAAAAGCAAAAAATCAAGGGATACAGAGAAACTGTTGAAAAAAATGAAGCAATGAATTTGAGCTTATAAAAAAAAAAAAAACAAAACCCCAAACACCTGAACAGCAAGCTGATGTGCTTATTATCATCACAGCAAGTGAAGAGAAAGCTAAATGTCAAGCATTACTACAGATATAGGTCAGCAATTCTATTGTTAATGCCATTCAGCAGGTACCCTTGGCAGGAGGTAAAGTCACCTAATCACAATTTCAGTTGCTTAAAACAAGTTGAACTGTGTCACTCTTTTGCTACTTTGTCACTGAATAAAACTGCTGCTCAGTTAATTCATTTTAACCAAAGGAAAACAAAAAGAAAGAAAGAAAGAAAAAAATCACTTACCATTGTGATGAGAACTCTATATTTATCCAGCATTGCCTGGTTGTCATGGCATCCTGCCAGCAACTGCCAAACCTCTGCCCTTAGTGCCTCTGGAATTTTTTGCTCTTCACCAGGGTAGATAATCCATTTGGTCTCACAACAAGATTATTGTGCCTGAGAAACAATCATTTGTGTATTATACTTCAACTACACGAGTAAAAATTAAAATTTAAAAAAATTTAAAAGTTTTTCAACTTTCCAATGTTATTCTGAAAAGTAGGGTTGGCAACTAGCAACAAAAACTTCTCTTCCACTGGTTATGCTAAGTAGTATTTGTCAGATGGAAATCAAAAATTCTGCCAGGATTTACAATAAGAACCAGGGGCAAAATGTAGTGCTATCCAAATTCTCTAGGTTTGGAGAAATTACTGAAAATTAGAACAATAAACAGTTGCAGAAACTGAACTAAACTGACTAATGAGGGACAATTTATTTGAAAGAGAAAACTGTGCCATTTGTGCAGAGAATTCAACTTAAATATTTGTTCAACATGTAAATTTAGCTTAGGTTAAGAAAAGGAAATTAAAAATAACCTAAGCTGCGTAGAGAAATAAATTTTGGTAAACAAATAAAAAGCAGTTTTAAGAGTACTGACATGAAGACTGAAGTTACAGTTTGATAGTTAATGCCAAGAGTATGCTGCGAGTCCCACAAAGCACCAACACTTGCACATACCTTGGTAAAATCCCCCCATTCCACACAAACCTGCCTATCAGCTTGAGCTAGCATCTTACTGTCTGTCTGGACACCCAGCAAGAAATGGAGGAAGACAATTGCAGGATGACTTTTTTTTTAATTATTTTCCAAGACTGCATAATTAATCCTACAAAAGTTGGTATACAGACCGACATAAAGGCTGCCTTCAGACAGGTTTGATACTAAAGATGTGTGTTTTTCACAAATGAGCCCAACCAGTTAGGATAAAGTCACTGCACATGCACAAAGTTGCAGAGCTTTCAGTCACAGGTGTTTAAAAATCCTTTTTGAGCTAACAGTGTTTACTGATCCAGATTAAACCTTGCTTTGACATATCATATTTTATATAAAATATATCAATTTTCATAGCCATGCAGCAGGAAGACTGTGTGAATTGACTCTTCATTCTTTCTACTGTAGGAAGTGCTTTGCTCTGTTATTGTTCTGACCACTGTTATGTTTTTCAACTCTACTGGTAAGAGAATAGTGAGAGGAGCAGTTTAGCCAACTGTTAGCAAGCTGTGATTAAATTAAATAGCCTGCAGTTTGACCCTCGATTTGAAGTAAACGTTTAGAGTACTTATTCTTTCAAACAGGTCATTAAGATGTGAGCAGTTTACCACCACTCTTTAAATTCAACAGCTTCTCTACATAAATTTCTTTTTCCTATACTCAGAGAATGATATCCCCATTTTTCCAAATTACTTGAGAATTAAAAAAAATTGTGGGATTATATAATGCCCTTATTCTTTTAAACACAATAATTATTGTAAATTTTAAATGTGTAGTGCAATACAAGTAATTTTAAAACTTTATCATTCAGTTAATTAAAACCCAACTAGACCTTTTTCTCTTTTTCAGTACACTTTGCACTTAAGTGACATTAGACTAGTGGTCTTGTAATGGGAAAAAGCTAGAAAGAAAAAACAATATTCACTGAAATATTAAACGGATTTTATAATCTAAGAGGTTACAAAATTATAAAATGTACATTCAGGAATAAATAACTAAAATACACCAGAAACTTAAAGCTCAAATAGTGTGAAAATGAAGCATTCATAGCACACAAATCAGATGAGTTTGGTTAGTATGTGGATTTGGAAGGGGACCTACAAGAAAGCTGGGGAGGGACTTTTCATAAGGCCAATTAATGACAAAACAAGGGGAAATGGGTTTAAGCTGAAAGAGGGGAGGTTTAGATTAGATATTAGGAAGAAGTTCTTCACTGTGAGGGTGGTCAGACACTGGCCCAGGTTGCCCAGAGAAGCTGTGGCTGCTCCTCCCTGGAAGTGTTGAAGGCCAGGTTGGATGAGGCTTTGAGCAACCTGGTCTAGTGGAAGGTGTCCCTGCTGATGGCAGGGGGGTTGGAACTGGATGAGCTTTAAGGTCCCTTCCAATCCTAACCATTCTATGATGATTCTATGATGATTCTATGATATGTATGACATCTGAAACACAGGAGGCCTTCTCTGAGGACTCAGCAAGCAAATAAAATAAAAGGAACAGCTAAAAAGGTGCATTCCCATATAAATGTAACAGGGAAATTTTCAGCGACACTAAGAAAACAATCCAAATAACTTATGGCAACACCCAACAGAGAAGGACATTCCGTGCCATAAAACCACCCTTACTACTGAACATATCCACAGCTGAGAATTAAGCACACTACAGCACACCAGATTTCACTGGATTTGTCATCTATTTAGATAGTTTTATGGTGGAGGTAATACTTTAGCGACATTAGTCCATTCAGTAAAGCATAACTCTAATAGATAACTTCTCAATTTCTGCATAACTGTTTGGGAATCAGCTTGTTCATTAATAATCCTTGCTCTGTATTCTACAATAATGGACAAATACACGTCTTTTCCCTCCTCTGCATAAAGGCCCAGGCACCTTCCATTCCTGAACACTTTGACACCTGCTTGGCCAGACTGTAACAGAAACAAGCGTAAAATAAAAGCTTGTCTTATTCCAGTCTTTATTCTTTAGCACATGGGAAAAAAAATGGGTCATTCATGGATGCTGACATCTTTAATTTGTTACAACGTGCTGTAATTCCCCTGCACAAAATTCAAAGACATAATTTTAAAACATCAAAGAGCAAGGATACAGAACAGCAATGCACAGCCTGTGCTCCAACTTGGCAAACAAATATTTCTGATCAAAGACTACTATTGACCATTACTACTTTTTATAAAAAAAAACCCCAAAAAAACACATCAGAAATAATTAAATACTAAACTAGCTCAGCTTGCAAGAACAACTTTAATGCTGAGGATACAGTAAATAGTAAAATAAATTAAAAGTTATTCCATTAGTTTCTGACTGTTTATCTTTTTGGTAAATGATCTTATTCCTGTTTATATGTTTGAAGGAGACTGGAGCAATGTTTCTGCTGAGTCAGTCCGTTAGGTTACAGTGACATTTTAATGAAATGACAAGAAGCAACTAAAGTGCAAGAAATTTTTCATCTAAGAGACAAATCAGCACAGCAGTTCTCCGAGTGGAAATGTTAATTTGTGTTTGTTTACTTTTTTTACAATTGCACAGATATTCCACTGGCGTGTGCTGCAGTTTTCAACACACTACAAGATTTTATTTCAATCTATTTTTAGTTTTCAAATTGTTAACGTTTTTCATCTGTTACTCCTTCCAAGTTTTGTTCTCCAAATGTAACATAAGGCTACTGAAGTATTTTATATACTCCAATTTACCTCCAAAGGTAACATTGCTTGAGACACTCCTAGGGAAAATGTTTGCTAGTGCCAGTCTTCAAGCTGGCAGGGATCTCCTATTTCTCACCCCATTTTTAACTGAGGTGGTTTAACTACTACATGATTCCCTGAGTTGACCGTGTAAGTTACATTAGGACTTCAAAACAGTTTACTCTGAAAGTCTTAAATGTTTTGTCTCATTGAATAGAATACTTGAGGAACCTGAAGAAACAGCTGGTTACATGAAAACTGAGAGAATGAGCTGTGGGAGGTTCTTTACTTCAGCATGCTTACCCACAGGAGTCCAGATATTTGTCAAGGGCAAAAGTTAAAACTAAAACGATCAACTGACAGATTAATTAAAAAAAATAAAAATATGTTTTTTTAAAAATAAGAAAAGTAGCATCTTCCAATGCAAATGCAATGTAGATTGAAACAAACAGTCCTTTAAGGACTCAGGATGGCTTTCCTCATTGGCTTTGAGGTGCCAGATATAAAATTGCAAACAATTTATGAACTCTCTCTTGGGATGTCCTTTAGAACAGGCTTTGGAAAGTCCTGAACAGCTCCAGAGCAGATTTGTTTACAGCCCGTTCAGGCTGTACAGACACTTCTGAATAGGGATCAACTGACTTCCACACTTCTCCTTAGTATTTTCTTAATCATTCTGAGGGTCCATAGGCAGAACATCTGTACAATCATTCCATTAAATATTTGTGCTACCCCAAAAAGATCTTTCATTAAGGTCAGAAACTTGGATGACAAAATAGTTAGAAACAAGCAGGAGGGAAGTGTTCTGTTAAGCTCAATAAAATCTTGTGAAGTCTCATTTTGGTAACCTGTGCATGAGATCTCCATTAAAGAGGAGGTCAGCAGCAGGAAACTGTGTTTCTCCAAAGCTACAAAGTGCCTAAGTAAAGGGAGGAATTGCCCAAATAAATCCTTAAAATGTTTTTCAGTTCTCTTTTTGGATTTATAAAAGGAAACTTTGCCAATTCCAGACTAAGGACCCCCTGATTGTTTTTGTCTCTGGTAGCAGGAGCTATTACTTACAAAGGGAAAATGAAGTAAGTGGTTCTGGCATTTGCTAATAGTGTAAGGTCTCTCAGAGGTAGCAAATACACAGACTTTTTTCCCTCTCTTGGCAAAGTATACACTGCTACTGAAGCACTTAATTAAACCACAGAAATAACAGTGTTTGGAACATACTCTGGGCTTACAAATAGTCTTCATCTTACTCTCCAACAGAAACAGTTTCAGTGAGGATCACTGTCTTTCTAGAATTCCTTTTCAAGTGCTTACATATAGCACATTAAATAAAAAGAAAATGAAAAAAGAGTGCTTCTGAACAAATCAATCCATTAAATGTATGTCAGCTAGCACAAATGGCTCAGAGAGAACAGACTGGAGTTGCTCTGTCTCTTCTATCCCAGCACTGAGAGGCACTGGGTTTCATGACAGCTTGACATCCAGCCCCAAGGAACACAGGTGGCCAGAAAGTTCTGCATTTGAAAATTCTCACCTGCAGCGTGAGCACTCACAGACAAATTCTCAAACATTGAACAAAACAGGACATTTGCAGACGCTTTGGGTGAGATCTGACAAATAACTGCAAATTAAAATAACAGGATTTACCACTCCCTTTTAAACTAGGTTTAAAAAACCCCACACTTCAATGTGTTTTTTTATTTCAGTTTTTAAACTATGTAAGCTGAAGAATTTCAAACCTCCTGCTCAAGAGCAAATAGTCTCATAAAACAAAGAAAAGGTTAGTACTTAAAATCTAAATTTAAGAAATGAAGCATTACCATCTGCCCAGTAATTCTCCCCAGGAATACAAAATCTTCTCAGGACAATCCTTTGACACATCACCAGTGCCACTGGAGAGTTCATTATCACTCTCTGCAAAAAGAAAAAATAAAAAAAAGGAAAAAAAAACAACACAAAAAAACAAAAGCATGCAGATTTACCAAAGAGAACAGACATCAAAGTTGCATACATAGAGGTCTCAGACAAATTCTTCTCACATATCAGTTTAAAAACCACAAAATGACATAGAAAATATTAGTGGAACCATAAAGAATGTCTAGCAGACTTGACAAAACAAGTGTATTAATAAAGTTACCATAAAGTTTAAGAGAACAAAACTAGGGAATAATTCCCAGCACTGTTATAGAAAAAGGGCTGGGATCTAGAAAAGCATTATGTGAGAAAAGAGTCAAGGCTGTTAACTATCCCTTCAATGAAATTTCACAATGCAGTATTACCTAAAAGTCTCATCTGCTCCAGGCTTCACAGAAAGAGAACTCTCTTTTAAAGCAGAGTAGATACTGCTCCTTCATTACACTGCATCCCTTATGTGCCACACTGCTCTCATGTAGATCTTGAGATCTCTCTGATCTCAAGAAGCCTACTCAGAGCCACAAAGTTGGGGGTTTTTTTACTGAAACAAGTTCATGGAAGAGCAGCAAAAAGACACTGTGACATTAAAGGTCATATTGCATGGAACAGAAGAGAATGCTTCAAATGGAAAAGAAACCTTGTAAGTATTAAGAATAAAACACAAAGGGATGTATGTCATTATATGACTAATACACAAAACTAGAGGGGATAATGTGAGGCTGGGATAGTGAGCTCAAATAATCACCCATTCCAAGTTACTATCGAATTTGCAAGTGTCTGATGCGTCTGTGCAGCTGTCCACAGCACGGTGAACAGTCTCTCTTTAGAGTATCTCCTCACATGAACGTGGTTTTGCAGCTATTTGGATTTTTTCCAGTTTTACCTGAATAAAGTTCTGCTAAAAATTAAATGTGAGTACAACAGCCACAAATGTTGACAGGGCTCCAATTGTCAGCACCTCTACTATGAAACACAACCTAAAAAGAGACACCACAACAGCCTCATTATCCTTAGAGGCCTCAGAGTCTTTGTCCTTTTAATTCTAATTTCAATTACATGTTTCTAATTCACAGACTCAGCAATTACCAAACACAAGTCATTAATAAAAATGTCCTCAGTGCTTGAATTTGACAATGAACTGCGAGGACAAAGATAGCATATACGATATTTCAGGGACAATTAACAGCAAAAATGCTGCCCTGAGAAAAGAGAGAAGCATATCAGGAATATCTTTGTCTTTAAAAATTGAATGTTACATTAGTGAAACCCTTTAGCTCAGAACCTGTTTGTACAGCTTGACAGGTCCTAAAATACAAGGCCAAACTGCATTTAAAAACCTCCCCTTAGAATTAAAAAACAAAACAAAACAAACACCCACACTCATCATAAATCTACAGGAAACTTGATTTCAAGGTTTTCCAATCTTTTGCATACATTCACTAGATCCAAAGATGGAAATATGAAGATCCAAACCCCTCAAATTTATCATTTTAACTAAAATTTGATACCACTACAAAAAGCTTCCCAGTAACACAAATAATCCATTAAGTTCCAGTGGAAGAAATGTATTTGAAGACTCGACTTCCTTTTCAATTTCAAATTACCAAAAATACTGTAAAGGCAAATCTCCTCATGTACCATCCAGGCCTGGTAGTAACTAAAAAAAAAGTTAAGTTAAAGCAATTAAATGTATCATATGTTAAAAATTCTCTCCTGTCCTGATTTGCCTAAACGCAAATGCAGATCATCTTCTTCCTCTGGAAACGAGGAAAAATAATTTGGAGGAAACCTTCTCTAGACTGAGCACATTGGCCCTTCAGAGACACAAGGTACATGTTAAGGGGACAGGTACATAACAAGAAACCTGGCTTACACCAGAAATTTATCCTAAACCACAATTTCAGAAAGGTTTCATGCACTGAAGGTAAAGAAAGACAATTTAGCACAGAATTCTGAAAGGAGATATTTGAATTACATTGGAGAGACTGAAGAGCTACAGGGCATCTCTACAAGAGTTACTGGTGAAAATACACACAAATAAATCTTGCAGTCTGAAACAAAATCTGATAAAGATGAATAAACAAATCCCCAACCAGATCAAAACATTTCAAAATGAAGCTAGGCTGAATACTTTCAGGAACAAAGCACAGTAGTCACTATCTGATCCAAACCTGAGCTTGCCAAGGAATACCAACATCAGACAAAAGAAACAAATCCCTTCTTTCCTCACTAGGCTGCTATTCCATGCAAAATTCTTCGAAGTCCTTAAGGGGATCAGTGTTACATAGCTCAGGTATTCCAGAAAGATAGATCACAAAGCTACAGTGCTTCAGCCCTGAAAATTCTTTCATCTGGAAGGCTTAACAGTATTTGAAATGTATTATTCAGTTATATGTCAGAAAAAATCACAATCCTTAATTAGAAATGCCATATGCTCCCTTTCAAAAGACGCTAACGTCAAACTTCAAAATAGAACAGGGCAAAGGAGAGAGAATAAACAGCTTTAAAAATCTCCAATTTGTTTCCATTCTAAAGACTATTCACATATTCTAACCTGCTAACCTGTGTAAGCACTTAGATATTAAAAAAAAAGGAGGAAAAAAGAAAGAGGCTGTGGGAGGGATATTCACCTGTAGATGCTCTTCTCTGAGGTCTGCTTTTATACATTTTTTTCCCCACATTCTATAGCATCCACAAGCCAGCAGCATTAGCCAGAGAATGAATTTATCCACCCTTATCCTGCAGGGAATGCCACAGATCCCTCCCTCTAAATGTACCACATACTTCCCCCTTCCTCCTTTATTTGCCCTGACCTCTCAGAGACGATCAGCTGGACAAGGGAACACACTCCTCATCAGAAGTGGAGGAGGACAGGAGACATCTCAAGGGAGCAAACCTTTGGGGCTCAGTTTAAATGTGCACACGCACAGACAGCCTGTAAGAATGCTCACAGACAACAGCAAGCCTCTCGGGGATTTTATTTATTCGTTGCTTTTAAACTGCAATGTGATTTACAAAATTCATTAAAAACCTCACTTTGTGAATGCCTCATCACCCAATTCCTTGAATTCAGTCTCTGTTTAAAGCAAGCACTTCCACAGCAAGCATTGCTCTGCACAGCACCAGCATACCATCATAGAACACTCTGGGCTGTGAGAGACCTCAGGAGGTCATCTAGTCCAACCCTCTAGTCCAAGCAGCTCTAGTTAGATCAGGTCACCCAGGGACCTGAGTGGGAGTATAGTCTTGAACACCTTCAAGAAAGAAGATTGTAGAATCTCTCTGGACAACCTGTTCCACTACTTGGCCAGGCTCATGGTTTAAAAATAAACAAAACATCCCACCAAAAACATCTTTTTATCTAACCAGAGTTTCCCAGGTTCCAACTGGTGTCTGGTGCTGTCTCTCAGAGTATCACTGTGCACCTCTGAGACGAGTCTGGCTCCACTTCCTCCGAGTCCTCTGATGTAGTAGCCGTAGACAGCAATAAGATTTTACTCTGCTCATTTTCTTCTCCAGCCTGAATCAAACTCAGTTCCCTTAATCTCTCATTGTACATCGTGTGCTCCTGCCACCTGCCAGCTTGGTGGCCTCCACTGGACTTCCTCCAGTGTGCCAATGCCTGTCTTGTACTGGGTGGAATGTTTGGTTACCGTGCTGTTTGGTACCCAAACGTGGTCTCACAGGTGCTGGACAGAGGGGATGGATCACTTCCCTGGGCCTGTGGGCTAGACCCCTGCTAACACAGCCCAGGGTGCGCTCGACCACCTTTGCTGACTTGTCTTCAACTTTCTGCCCACTGGGATCTCCAGGTGCTTTTCTCCAGAAGTCGCTTTGTGTCTGGTTAGTGTCCAGCCTGTCTTGTCACGCGAGGTGATTCTATTTCAGACCCCGGACTTTGCACTTGCCTGTGTTGAACATCACGAGGTTCCTGTCAGAGCATTTCTCCAGCCTGTCCAGACCCCTCTGAGCAGGAGCCCTGCCCTCCAGCATTATCAACCGCTCTCCGCAATTTGCTGTTGCCCACAAGCCTGCTGAGCATGCACTTGATCCCATCACACAGGTGATTAAAGACATTTAACAGCACTGATCCCAATACTGATCCCTGAAAGACACCGCTACTTGCTGGTTGCCATCTGGACTTTGCACCACTGATTGATTTTTTCATCCCAGCAGACCAGCCAACCTTTCAGCCACGTGATCTTCCACTTATCCAGTCCCTATCTCATTGATTTATTGATAAGGATGCTACAGCACACAGTGTTGGAGTCCCTGCTAAAATCAAGGTATACAGCATCCACCGCCCTTTCCGCATCCACAGCCCTGGTCACCTTGTCACAGAAAGTAATGAGGTTGCTCATGATGATCTGCCCTTCATAAATCTACACTGGCCATACCCAATGACCTTGTTTGTCTTTCATGTGTTTAGAAACTACTTTGGGGAGTATTTGCTCCATAACTGGTCCCATGGACTGAGGTTAGACTGACCTGGATCTTCCTTCAAGCCCAATGGCATTTTTCTTCTTCTTCATTTGGAGATGTGCCATTTCCATGACACAAACATGGAAGCCTGTACAGATACCATTTGGGTTGGGGGAGGATCTCTGGTTGACAGATTTTGCATATAGTCTGTTTTGTTAATATAGCTATAGGCAAACTTAAACGTGTAAAAAGTGGTCTCTTTCAAAAAATCTGCAGGGATATTGAAGAATAAACTAAAAAAGAAAGAATCTAACTGAAAAGAAGATTGGCAGCCTATTGGAGATATACATATATATAATTTTGTCCCTTTAGAAACACTCATTAAATAAATTATTCATTCCATGAGCAGACTATTCAGAATAGGGCACAAAGAGTTATATTTAATTGAAGTGGCCCAGCGCTAACATTTATTATGTAACAATATTCTACTGACTAGGCTCAATTATAACTTTTTTTCCTCTCCTTTAAAAAAGCCAGACTCCACCTTGCAGTAATACGACTGTTGGTATGAAAGACCT